CTCAGCGCAGCTGAGCTGCCATCAGCTTGAATCCTGAGCCTGAGCAGCAAAGAGCACAGCTAAATCACTCACTCTCTTTGAAGACGTCAAAGCCAACAGCATGGCTGTTTTAAGTGACAGGAATTTAAGTGAAACCTGATCTAAAGGCTCGAAAGAAGCTTTGATCAGGGCTCGCAGAACCATCGTTAGGTCCCACTGTGGAGCTAGTGAGCGTGACACCTGTCTGTGCCTCCGTACACCTTTCAGAAAACACTTCATCAGCGGGTGATTAAAAACTGTTCTGTCACCGAAGCCTTCATGACGGGAGGAAATGGCTAAAGCATGTATTTTAATTGTGCTGAACGCTAGATTTCTGTCAATCAGCAGCTGTAGAAAGGACAGCATGCCACCTAGTGGACATGAGATGGCCTCCACACCTTTCTCCATGCAACAGCGCTGAAAAGCTGTCCACTTTGATGTGTACAGAGCTGTGGTGGAAGCAGCACGTGAGTCTTGGATTGTGCGCACCACTTCCTGAGAGAGGCCCATCTTCTCTAAGTGGATCCGCTCAGCAGCCAGACCCAAAGGTGCTGGCCTATTTCTGGGTGACTCCTGATCGCTCCTCCTACCTGGAGGAGATCATCGTCCCTCCACGACAGTTTCCACGGTCGACCCGATAACAGACGTCGCAGGTTTGGGAACCACGGGGCGCTCACGCGCTCGGGGGCTACAAGAATTGCTGACAGTTCTTCCTCTCGAACTCGGTTCAGAAACCGTGATATTAGAGGAACTGGAGGGAATGCGTAAAGGATCATTTTTGGCCACGGGCTGTGGGCAAAGGCGTCCACTCCTAACAGTGGGTCGTCCCGTGGGCTCAGTGAGAACCATAGTTGACACTGGGCATTCTCCCGTGTGGGAAACAAATCCACTGCTGTTCTGCAAACCTGCTCCAAATCGAGAAATCAGCTCGGGATGTTGACTCTAGTCCCCATGGCGCGGACCACACCTGGACATTATGTCCGCTCCTCTGTTCAGGATGCTGGGGATGTACATTGCTCTGATAGAGAGCAGGTTTTTGTGTGCCCAACACAACAGCTGCCTCGCAATGCGTAACAGTTGGGCTGAGCGCACGTCCCCCTGCCGGTTTATGTAAGCTGCAGTCACTTTGTTGTCTGTGTGAATCAGAACATGCTGATTCCGCAACAGGGGAGCAAAATGCTGAATCACATTCCAAACTGTGAGACATTCCAAAATGTTTATATGAGATGATGTGTGAGGTGGCCACAGCGCCCCCACCGCTTGAGACAGGCACGTTCCTCCCCAGCCTGACAGGGATGGTCTGTGAAAACTGAGACGTGTGACGTAGGTCTGCTGATAAGAACTCCCTCTGACAGAGTGAGAGGGTTTCCTCAGTGCTTCAGGTCGGTTCCCATGGAGGGGGGCAAGGAGATCATCCGTCTCTTCTGACGTACCGGATCTATGCGCAGGCGAGGGAACCATCTCTGAAGGCATCTCATGTGGAGTAAGCCCAGCGGAACCACTGCGTGAGCTGATGACATCGTTCCCAACAGTTTCATGATAGAGACGGCCGTTACTACTCTGCTGGATTTTACGCGGTGGAGCTGGTCCTTTAGAGCTTCAGCTCTTGTCTGTGATAAACGGGCCCTCATAGTGACTGAGTTTAGCTCCACTCCCAGATAAACGATCATCTGGGCCGGGAGAACCGAACTCTTTTCCCAGTTTATGGCGAAACCCAGGTTTAACAGATGTGACGTCAGCGCTTTGGTTTGCATAGCTGCTTCCTGCCTGGATCGAGTCAGCAGCAGCAGATCGTCCAGATAGAACAAAATTCTCATCCCTGCTTTGTGTAGTGGCTGCAGAGCCGTCTCCGCGCATTTCGAAAACGTGCGAGGGAATAGCCGAATGGGAGCCTGTTGTACTGGTACTGGGTCCCTCGGAAGGAGAAGCGCAGGAACTTTCTGTTTTGGAATGATTGGTATGTGAAAATAGGTGTCTTTTAGATCTATGGAGGTAAACCAGTCGTTCTGGTGAATGTTGTCCAACAGCTGTCTGGTTGTCAGCATGTGGAATTGTCTCTTCATGATCGAATTGTTGAATACAGATAAGTTCAAAATGGGTCTCATTCCTCTGGTCCTCTTCGGAACCAGGAAGTAACTTGAGTAAAACCCTGTGTTTTCCTTTCCATTAGGAACCCTGGAAATTACATTTTTTATCAGTAATTCCTGCACTTCTGAGTGGAGAGACGAAATCTTTTCTGGAGATGACAGAACTGTCTCTATAATCCCTCTGAACGGTGGGGGTTGAGCTGCGAACTGCAGCGTGTAACCTCTGCTGATCAGACGGTCCATCCATCTGTCCAGGGAACACACTCGCTGCCACTCTGCGTAACGCTCTGGGAGCGGGCGCGCGTTTTTGTGTTGTGTCAGGTCCTTTACGGACGTTAACCAAGCTAAGGCCTCTACCGCCATCATATGCTCTGGAGATGCTCTCCGAGCGACCCATGGAGAGGCCTTGCCGAAAGGGCTCTGGGAGTGCCTCTGTGCTGTGCTCAGGCTGCGGGCTCTCATCAGAGTTAATGTGAGCTGACGCGCACTGAGGAGAGGCCTGAGCGCCCTTAGAAATGCAACGCCATTTGGGTGGAGATTGCAGTTGCCGTGGGGAAACGCATTTGTTCCCGCTACAGTCAGAAAAATCAGAACACAACCTGGGCTGAGAGCGTTTTTTTCTGGGCTCGGTCTACTGAAAAAATTCATTTTTAACTGCTATGTCAAGCGAGCATTTTGTGATTTCTCGAGCTGCGGTGACTTTTAAAAACCTGTTTTGAGGTTACCGGCTCAATTTGTGTGGAGGATGTGTGAAGAGAAGCCGCTGTGAGATCATTCGATCTGACAGTCAGGCTGGAATCAGACACTTCATTCGCTGAATGATGTTTTTGTTTTATTTTAAAACTCATATCATCATTATGCATATACACATCCTCCACAAGGAGTCATTTCTTGTATCTTCTCCCCGTGAGCCCTGTGACTGGTTGTTCCAGGGCGGTGCCCGTTGGCGGTCTCTGGCGAAACACTGAGTCGTTGGTTGCTACGATGAGAAAGACTGTTCTCTGGCGGGAGGGGCCGGCAGCGGAGCGGGGCGGGAAGACGCTGCTGCAGCTGTGGAACATCTCTGCTGTTGCCTCTGGGCACGATGATCTCTCCAGCAGGAGGGGTGCGGCTTCATCAGGTGGCGCACAGTCTCAGACGCCTCCTCCGACTTCTTTGACTTTTCAAGCATGGCCTTGAAATTGGCCCCGAACAGCGCGTCCGTCATGATTGGGCCCTCCAGCAGGATTTTCTGCAGTTTCTCCAGCAAGGAGGGGGAGCGTCGGAGCCAGGTGAACCTCTGAATCATTGTCATCCAAACGGCGATGCGAGACAGGCAGACCGCAGAGGAGGCGCACAGGTTGAGGATGACGTCAGACGCTTTGCAGAGCGAGCTCCTCATCTCCTCAGGCAGGTCTGTGTCCTCCAGCCTTTTGGAGATGCTGTAGGCCAGCAGGGCAACATTGTTGTTCGCTGCAGCTGCCTAAAAAGCACACTGGTGGGCTCGGTTGGAGAGCAGCGTCACCATCTGGTCACGTCTCCCTGGAGGGACAGGACACTGGTCCAACCTGGACACTTTTGCTCCAAGTGCTTCTGCCAGGCTTAGCTCTGGGGGTGTACCGAGGGAAAGTTCCGCTCAGTAAACCCCTCCACTTTGGTGATGGGAGCGAAAGTGGAGATGGGCACCTTCAGCCTACCAGATCCGGCTGCAGCCTCGGTCCAGAAGGATGTCACTGCTGGGAAACGAGGCCAGATGGGGTCAGGGCGGCGAGCCGGGGTGGAGCCAAACCTTCCCGCTAGATCATCCGATCTGAGCGGGGGGAGGAGAGGGACGGAAAGTCCCTTCGTGTCAGCTGCCTCCTGGATTATGCCGGGCAGCTCCAAGAGGAGGGCACCGATGGCTGGGAGCGATGTGTTTGCCGATACAGAAAGGCCTGGGGGGGGGGGGGGTGAGCATCTTCTCGGCCCCCCCAGTTCCAACACTACGCTCTCCAGGAGGGAATGAGCAGCGGGGCTGCTGCTGACGTCGCCTTTCCTGGAGGAATCATCCGATTCGCTCCGTGACTCGGCATCAAAAAAGGCGATGGTGTCGTCCAGCGAACAGTCCCCCGTCACGGAGAGGCACTCCTCTATGTTAGCCTTGAACAAGGCTGCTCGCCTCTGCCTCTCCTCAGGAGGGAGGAGGTCACAGAGACGGCAGGAGGAGGCGAGGTCGGCGTGGCGGGGACCCAGGCATCCTTTGCAGATGTCGTGCCGGTCCAAGCTCAGTGGTGCTGGTGCTGGACACCGTGTTCTTGTAAAAAACAGTGCTGGTTGCTTGCTGAAGAAAAATGGGAGCCGATTACCCGGTCTCACCGTAATTTATACGGACCGGGTGAGGCCCACACAGCAGGTGGGCATGGACTGAAGTCTTCGGTGCTGCGCTTCGCGCGACGGGATGAAACCCACCAGCAACAGCCTTAAAGGGTGAAGCCTATATGAAATAGAACATTCTCCATGGTCTTCTGCGTCATCTTCCACTCATGCTGAGTCCATTGTTGAAAAATGACAAAATAGAACTCCTAAAACCGCTAAAACATGACGCCACTCCGTTTTTGTTTTTATTTCCAGAAGAAGAACAAGTTTCTTCTTCAGAGGTTTTTGTGTCGTTTCTTTCAGTAGTTTTTGGTGCAGCACCACCACAGGCGAGTGGGGGAACAGGTTGGTTTGAATAGGTTGGCTCAACTGCACAGTGCAGTGTGAATGCAAACGCACCAGCTCAAATGTAAACAAAATGTTATGAATATTGGTCCTCAACCGAACCGAGTCTACCGGACTATCAGGTGTGAAAACAACCTAAGTAGTGTGTTTCTACTTCTGCAACATTTAATAATTTATGGTTAAAAAATCAAAACTGATGTTCTTCCTTTGCATCAGGGTTCGAAGGAGGACGAGGACGACTTCCTTCATGGGGAGACGCTGCACACCGAGGCCGTCCTGGGAATGACTCCTAGTTCGTTAGGGTCCAACCTCTGCAGCCCGAGCAGCATGGGTTCACCGCCTCTCAGCCACCAGCATCCGTTTTGATCCAGGTTCCTCATCAGGAACCTTTGTTCTGGCCTTGGTCCAGACCCCCCC